GAACGGAGGCATTTCTTGAGGACCGGCTTGTTGAACAAAACTACGTTGCCAGGTGGCATACAGGGCAAAGTGCGCTGGTTGCAGTCGCTGATACAGTGCACGTAAGTGCTTCCAAGCCATATCCAAAATGGCGCTCGGTTCTTCCCTTCCCATTATTGGCGCGTCCAACAGCGCGATTAAAACCGCAAGTGCTCCATTATGCGCTCTCGTCCACCGTCGGCTGACCGGCAGTTCGTTGACATCCACGCTGTTAAGCAAGTGTCTGCATGGAAGCCCAAATCCGGCGTTAGTTTTGCATGTGCACATACGGCTGGCGTGGTTCACCGCCTCCAGTAGATGATCACTGAAAACAGTTGCATGCTCACCACTGCTGAGAACAACAATCGGATACCTTGAACTCAAGTCAGACGCTATTGAGAAAATAGCTGACGGCATCAATCGGCGGCACAAGCAGTCCAACTCCGGATGACAGACAATACGCAGGTAGCGACGAGATGCATCCGATATCGCTTTCTGTCGGTTCCATAGCAAATACGTCACGCTCATCCGAGACACTCGTATGGCTTCCCACAATCTAATTCGCCCATTCAGTAGTTCCATCTTTAAGCAGAAATACATGGACTCCACCATATTCGTGTCATGTATGCCGTATGTTGCAGTACCAGGCATCCTGCTGTTGGCCCATCTACATGCGTTAGACAGAATGAAGTAACTGATTTAGTGGAATAATAATAATATACTAATAATGTGTCAACTGTACGCCGTAACTGCGCTTCGCTGCCGCGCGACCACCACAAGTCGCGCGCGGGCTGAGTATACCGCGAGGACGCCCGCCCCTACGCGGATTCAAACCGGTGACCTTATGGTTGCAAACCAAACGCGCAGACCACTCGGTCATCAACCGACTAGTGGAAGATCATTAATCATGATCATTAATATGAATGAGTTCCAAATTGGCTAAATATTTCCAAAAATTGAATGTGTACATCATGATGGAAAAGCCTCTGAATGAAGTGGATTGCGGAAAACCTTTGATTACATTCCTAATTATATGCATGCGACAAAGAAATGATGGGCGGAAGGAAAGACGCTATGTACAGCGTTAGCAATGGCCAGTGCACCATCGGACATGATGCACTTGACGCCAGAACCACCACCTACAAACTCCATACACGTGAGGAGGAAGGTTCTGACGTCAGTCTCCGTCTCCCGCCAGAGAAAAGCGATGGCAACCGGTAGGGTTTTTCGACAGCCATCGAATAGGAGCAATTGATACAAAAAATTGTCTCTGTTGGCTAGTGGAGAAGTAACTAAACAAAAGTTGGGAAACCGGGAGTACAGTTCCAGCATCTCGGATGTGGAGTAAATGAATTGGTTGATCAGATAGTTTTCGTGGTGCAAACACCGGAGTAGCCCTCGCTGGTTAAACTGCGATTCCATGTCCAGTATATATCCTAACACAGTGCATTTTTACTTACCCAATCAACAAACAAGTTGCCTTGATTGTTGCTCCCGAACATGTGCCTCGCTAGAAGGTAGCCGACGTCCGCGTTCGTCAAGTATTTTCCGAAGTTCGATCTGACCTAGAACCGGATGTTGAAACATCGACTTCGGTATCCAAGCATTGGCCTGATTATCTCCAGCTGTTCCGGCTCTAACCGACGGTTTCTACTAAACCACTTTAACGCTTCGTCTCCCAGAAGTTCGTGGTTATGCACCATGTGGAACCTAGTTATTCTAAACGAAGTCCCTAGCTTACCAACATTGGAAAGGCGCCGCAATGTATGTGATCCAATAGTCCTCAACTTTTGCCTTCGTTAGGATGGCGTGCAAACCCTTTCCGGTGGCACTGATACTTTATCAGTTTTCTCGCCAGAGGCATCTGCTTTCGACGTTCGAACACTGTAGTATGACCCCGCTTGATGTATTACACCGGTTCTTAGACGTTGCTATATATGCGGCTGTTCACACCCTCAACAAACTGACTAGAAATGCTAACGGTGTATCCGTCGGGTGTGGCAGGACTACTGGCGGTCTCAACGAGCGTATGGGTGGCTGCGGGATTTGAAGCCATAGCGAGGTTGCATCCAGAATACACTGCTCTATTCCATTCTTCATCCGATGAGACCGCCGGGGAAACTTACTATTTATAACTTTCTACTTATATGTTTGTCAGTAGTGTGAATTATATATGATAGAATTGCTGCGCACATCTGCCGTTTCCTTAGACAAACAACACGCCAAAAGGTTGTGGCGTTAGTGCCATCCCTACGAAAGCGCTGATCACCGATAATACGAAAGACGGGCTGTTTACCCAGGCTAAATACAGACGCGTTAGGAGAACGTATCCTCCAAAGACATTTGTTCGCGTTATACTACTCAATTCCCGGAAAGTAGGTAATGTATCCGGACCGCCAACCCAACACGCCAGGAAGTTACAAGTTGGCTGATGGGGCAAAGGTGAATGCAAGACGGCTGCATACAGCGCTTTCCCGACGTGCTATTGAACAGATGAACACACCTACAACACAGCGCTCGGTACAAACCAGTACAAACTTATGACGTTCCGGTCGGATACGCCGCCCTGTCTACCGATACGCCTTAAAGGATAACACCACATAACAATACTTCGGGGTGCTGACATTAAATTAGATCGTTCATGGACATGTAGTGACTATATTTTTACGAACAGAGGAGGGGACATGTTGTGTTCAAATACCTTGCTTAGATTTTGCCCTCGATTCGCTTATCCTACTCATTGATCTATTTAGCACTCGTTGGCCTATCACGTGATCTTGCATTTGGTAGGTTGCAATGCGAACCTCTATTGATTTAATTGTACTGCGCGCGTGTGCGGACAGTTTCCAACATACATACGTTCTGGTGCTACTCCGGTCTGCTGCTTTTTCGGGATACAACAAAGGGGGATTACCCTGCTCCACGACCCATTTGCGTCGTGATTATCCTGTTGACTAAATGGTCTGCATGCCTGGCTTGCAATCATATTGTCACCGATTCGAACCCATATAGGGGAGGGAGTCCACGTGGTATACTCAGCCCACGCGCGACTGGTGGTGGTCGCACAGCAGCGAAACGCAGTTACGTCGTACAGTTGACACACTAAGCGGTGGACGACGGCGACCGCGGACATGCTTGAGCTACTCGTTCCGATATAGCCCTGTTTACTCTTCATTGCCCAACACATTGATGGGAATAGACATTATAAGAACGAAACAGCCGTCCCATGCCCCACTGTACGTGTGATGGCTACCACACTAATTGGGATGTATTTACCTCTCACTTGCAGCGGTCTGAAAATTCCCCGATCTGCCTGTACAAAATTCCAACTAAAGTAGCTATCTCATTATATACTTAGGCTAGAGATGCGGATGGTCGAACCGCATGTTGAGTTCGACGGTTTAAGTCGAGCTACCATCATCTTACCTTGGCGCCAGTCCACCTTACGAACTGCGATTGTTTGTGTGCTGTGTGTATTCCTTCCTCTAGCTACCAACTTAATCGGTACAGTTTTCTTCCTAGGATAAGAGAGAAGCTTTTGCTGTACCATTACAAGCTTCCCCGCAATTCGATCTTAGCTCTGGAATCGGTATCCGGGCTCCCGTTATACACAGCACTTACTGCTAGATGCTGGTATTTTCCGGTTAATTAGCTAATCCTTGGAAATGGTGGTTGGCTCTGTGATGTTCAGCGAACACTGCCACAGATACAGTGTGAAAAGGGCCGTTGAACTTGGAGTTAAAAGCTGTAGTTAAACTCTGCCGCACAGAATCGATACACTTGAAATGGGCACAAATTCGGTGGTGTTCGATCGATGCACGGTGTCTGAACGCAGAGATGAGACCACAAACACTTAGTACTGGGAGTTATCATTTTTTGTTCTTTTGACCAATTTTAATGATTACATGATCTTCAAGTTTGAATCGGGTAATCCACTAATGATCTTTCGGCGCAGATACTTGTCTTTAGTGGCAAATATTGGCATTTTTATATTTCATGATAAAAAGGGTGCTATAGTCACTAATACACTCACAAGGAGGCAGTCCCCTAACCAGCGCAGTTTATCATAGTGTCTACTTCCACCTTGGAATACTGCGATGCGTTACATAAGACCTGGTATAATGCGGCCATAGTACTGTTGACGCACTCCTTGTGGGCACTAAGGTAAGAGTCGAAGTGATATTTTCTGAGAGGGATGTTCACGTGTGGCAAGCACGTAGCGAAAAGAAATTCCGTCTGCACTTCATCCTTCTGTATGTGCTGCTAGGATGAGATGGTGGCCTAAGTCTATCGCTAAGGCTAAGTATTTTCAGCTGATAACACTCGTGATTAGGGTTGCTTACTATCTCATGACCATGACGAGGTCATGAAGCAAACGCCGATAGCGTCTACTGAAAACACCCAGACTATTCCGTCGCTGTTCGTGTGGCCACTGGGATAGCCCTTTATCTTTCTGGTAGTGAATTCTCAAAAACTCTGGAATCCAGATTCCGAAGTGGCTGCCCTTATGGAATTGCATATTCCACGTCGGAGCTATGTATTTACAAAGCCGTTTGTAAAACATGGATGGATTGAAGCGACTGAAAGCTCTTCTCAAGCGTCCAACGTTTTGGATGCCCTTCTCTGACGATTCTTCGCACTGCTCCGAGCAGTCAAGGTCTTCTTATACCAGCACTCTGGGATCCTTCTCGTGAAAGCTGTGGCGCAGGTCAAGGTCACCTAGATTATAATTGTGAACTGGATGGAGTCGTAAACGTAGAGATCGACAACAAGGTAAATTGAATTGAAAATAAGTAATAGCCGACTATCCATAAAATCTTATCAAGATCATTTCACAATCCTTTTGTTCTCAGTCGGCAACGAGTTAGTACATTGTCTGACATCAAGACAACAGTGAACTACTCTTTTTCTAATTACAGCTTGTGTTACTGATCTGGTATATGGAGGCACACAACTGATCCTTCCGTCTTGTAATCACCTCAATGAGAGAAGAGAAGGCAAAGGATGGTAGGAGAAGAAGGAAGACGAAGGTTACCATCGTCCTTGTTTCGCTTGACTAATCGTTTCCATGTAGCCAGCTGCATGTCAATCCAAAGGTGTTGACAATGATTCGTTCGAGATGGAAGAATGCAAAAGACCGGATTCGAGGTTTATCTTTCTCTTCATCCTCATTAAACTTGCGTATTCAGACCCGAAGTTCCAGCGGAATCGTTACAACACATGCACATGGAAGAGTCACCTAGACAACATAAACCTCGGACAAGGAAGTCGACCATATCCTCTGCATCAGCTGTCGATGCGGAGTCAGCTTCCGTCGCACCAGACACCGATGCAAACGAGAATGAAGTAGTGGGTATCGTGATCCACCGGACCGACCAATTACGCGCCACGGCAGACGTCCGGTATGCTATGGTCCGAGTACACGTTATGAACGAGCAGATGGGCACTTATTACTTGCGACAGCGTCAGTTGCCGAGTTCCGGTGATAGAAAGTGGTCCCAGTTTATACAACCAGTCTGGTGTGCGCCGATAGAGCTTCTACAGGGTCCCGCGAAGTTGCCGGTGTGGGAAGAACTGTTGTTTATCAATGAACAATACGGTTACATAGCCGACACCCCATCAACCGTATTGTTGTTTGAGGTGAGTCACAGTTAGATTAGCCGGTGCCAAATTCATCTTCTCCAGTTTGGACACCAATTCATCCAATTTGAACCTCATCGTACAGCAGCTGATTATTAGTTCGTTCTTTAGGGATTCACGCGTTTTTAGATGCACTTCTAGATTCACAGTGTTCGAATCAACAATCCTTCTCTCGCGGGCTGGCTGCTAACTGATGATGCCGCAATAGTAGCGGGATTCACACCCACCATCCCGATGCAACAAGAAGCCTGTCTCGTGATGAAAGGAGTCAAAACAGCGACCTCTGAGATTCAATTTCAATTCAATTCAAGAAGGTACTTTATTCACACAAAAGGGTGCATAATCAGCTGTTGCACACGTGCTTGCAGCATAGTAAAAGAAATAACGCATTAACCGCTCAAGTAGAGTGATAAGTGGCATAAACTGCAGTGTGGTTGTGATGCGGTTATTTTTAGGCTCCGAGACAACTGATGTCTGGTCGCTCAGAAAACGTGCCAGATGTGGAATAACGAATGAGTAATAAGTCCTTGTACGGGCAAATGTGACTCTGTGCTTGAAGCAGAAGGTGTCAATACATGCAGTTAGAATCAGCTTCACAAGCACAAATATGTGAATAGTATCTGAGGTAAAAATAGTAATTTGTGAACTACTGGGGGAGCCTTATCAGAATTACAACCAAAATCCTACTACTCGCGAGTAATATAATAATAAAAATATCCTGGTTTTAAAATGTTATGGATACAGCGTCCAGTGAGAGGACATCACCTCGCAGGCTAGCCACTGTCAGTAACAGTGGAAGACAGGTAGTGAGTGCTATATCTCAGTTATCTTGCAAATTATCTAGCTCAGCCTACGTCTCCATGACTTAGTGGCTTAAACTGCTGTCTAGTTTGCATCTGCCTCTAGTGGTCATGGGTGCGATCCCCAGGTTGGGACCGAGGGAATGCGCACCATTGACGTGTCCCAATAGGGCGAAACGCGTCTGGTGTTTTCTCGGACTAGACTCGGCTATGTAACTTGTGGACTACTGAGATGAAAGCTTTATCAGAATTCCAACTAAAATCCTGCTACTCGCGAGTAATATAAAGCTAGCTTTGGCTACAAATTAGGCCCATAACTGCATACATAGAGTGGCAGTATTAGTCGCCGTTATTTCGAAGCCAAAGAAGGACAAGAGAATTTGGTTGAAACCGACTTTTGCACTTTTGGAAGTCTTGTGTCCAATAGTTCATCAGTGGTCTGTCTCCACCTCTTCAATCAGATGGTTTGATTTGCCTTCCGGTCGTTGACCGACCCTGCCCGTGGTACATTCAACATTTTAGGATCTACCACCAGTCTGTCCATACGGATGTTGTGGGTAGTTGAGTATTAGGTAGAAGCAGTCTGACAAGTGGATGAAAACCTAAAACCGGATGGGTTGCGTTAGCCGGGAAAAGCATTAAACACAAAACCGTCGAGCATTTGCTGAGAACAGCCAAGCTTTTCATCTGACTTGAAAGGACGCAAACCACAGAGAGCACATAACGTCTGCAATGAAACTGGATAGTGTTGGTCAACCTCGACTTTCAGGCTAGCGTCTACGCCGCCCTCTTCGTCATTGCTTCCAGACTGCATAGGACATGGCCCGTGGCCAGCACCACTGGCCCGCTTGCTGTCGTCTCCTAGTCGGACTGTCTGTTTGAATGGCATATTTGATACGCATTTATTTTTCAATTAATGACTAAGTAGGAGGCGTAGCAGTATAGACCGCAGGGAGATTAATTCACTGCTGTTGCCTTGTGTTTGTAAAATAGTCAGCTGTTTTTGCCGTGTGGCAACTGAGCCTGAATTCAGAACCGTGGCTATACTAGTAATCGATCCAGAAGTCCTGTGTTCAGAGGGAATCATGGAAGGATCAGTTTCCAAATCTGTCTCAACTCATTTAGCCTGGATATTTACTTATGGTCTATGGAGTTCGCCTTGACTCCACGTTTTCACGTCATTCATAGAGATAACTGAGTTGTGGGGCTGTAAACCATCCGTTCAGCCTACTGCTTCACTCCTGTTGTTGAGACGGTGTCGTGGAGCTTTACAAAGTGCGCGATCACATAACTGCGTTTCACTGGGATCATCCGTACAGCAATTCACAGCTCCTGCTGCTATCCATTTCGGTGTGTGTGTTGTCCGCTCCTGTACGGTGAACTGAGTGTTTCAGCCTTTTGTAAAAGAATGGTGCATGCTTGTGGCTGGTTGTTTTAGCGGGAGCCCAGATTGCGGCAGATGGTTGTATATCTCATACAACCATTTGTTCGCTATTATCCTGCCTACAACACCACACCGATGGATGCGGCTATTTAGGGTAAAGGAAGGTTTAATACACGAGTCGCCAAGCAAAATGCGTGACCTGCTTTAAACAAACTCCATATGCAATTCAATATTCCGTACCAATCGCCTAATTTTAGTCAGGATTTTACACAACAAGGCTAGGCATACAGGGGGACTTATCAGAAAACCACTCTCAATAAGTCTCCGTATCATATTGGAAAACTACTCTAAGTGGAAGCTTGGCCAAGAGCGGTTAAAGCGAAAGAGCCAAGTTCACTGATGTCACAAAAGACTGACGGCATATCATTCCAGAGCTGGTCCGGTGCGATAATTGTGATGTAACCTAGTATCTGCGAAACAGTGAACTGACGAAGAAGCTGCGAACACAGCGTAATAAATGTACCAAATTTGCCAGGGTGATATCTTATTCAGATGTGTAAGTAATTTGCCTTCCTTTATTTGTTTGTACACAAACACATTGCTTATAAACCACTATTATAACTGAGTTTGGTAAGACCATCCCACAATACCGAAAGCCTAAGTTTTTACTCCTATTCAGTGTGTTATCAGGTAATACGTCGTTACACTATACATTTTATCCATATCCTCCCAAGAGAGCGATGCTGTATATATAAGGGGGCTGTTGCAAGCTATCATCATTCTAGGGGGGGGCTCACACAGTTATTCCATCTTACTCTAAACTCAGCTTGGGATAACCGCCGTGACATCAGCATGCGTTGTGGCTATGCGAATCACTCAAGGGGAACTAGTCCAAAGAGAAAGTTGCTTTCAGCTTCAACTGCTGTTGTTAACGGGTACTCTCACTGATTCCGCCAGCAATGCGGGTGTTTAGAGCAATCGCTCAAGGCACTGCCTTGAATCTAATGACTTCTATTTTCGGGTCGTTGTGTTAGCTGCAAACAATTAGGTGTAAAGTGGCTTCTTCTCCTTTTTCCCCCACACCGTTTTCGTTAACTGGTGTTAAACATTGTTACCATAGTGATGCGCATCTTGGCAGTTTAGTCGATCACACCTCGTTATGCGGACCGCATCAAACTAACAGAGCCTAACGGTATGATCATAATCCTTCCACCACAGCTGTTGAACATCAGGACGCATCCCGGTAATTTGGATCTCTCGCGATGCACTCAAGCGGAGCACAGGGTATCTACAATAGCTTGGGCATTCCTTCGTCTCGTGGGCGCGAACGGGCACACTAATACAGGACTGAAAAAGCAGCGTCTTCAACTGTTCGAACCGGTCCCGAACTGCAAGCCTCCTGGGATCAAGTTATCGCAACAGAGTTCGAAGCATGGTACGATCAAGAAATTTCCCGAACCAATGGCTGCAGGGCAGCATTTATTCGATTGGTGGAGCATGGGGTCAAGCGCGAGAATCAAATATCCTTCCACACTGTATGTAACGGTGAAAAAGATTAACATCGGACAGCAAATCCGTGGGTCTGAGTTCTCTGTGGACCGAGTAAGTGTGACAGCTTTTGATCACCAAGCGCATAAGCGGTACAAAACTAGCAATGTTTTTGTTTGACATGCTCACTGGGATAACCAGAGTTAGAGCTTGAGATAAAAGGGTAATTATGTTTACTATATAAGGTTGTAACAATGCGAATGTGGAAGGACGGTGTATAGGTGGCAAAGAAGTGAAACCCGTAATCTCTGATTTGGATATCCGTGTACAAAACGACGTGGGAATCTTCATTGTCAACCTTCATTCCGCAACACATAAAACCACTTATCCGCTGCACTGCCTTTCATGTAGAACATAAAGCCACCCACCTCGAGTGCTTGCAAGTAGCAAAATTTAGGTACCAAAGCGCACGAAGCCAAGTGTACTATCCAATCGTTTTTTGAAGACAGGCAGCAGGAAAGGAAGCAACTGGGATTAGGAGAGCGCTCAGATTCAGATGGAACTGGAACGATAGCAAAATCGCTCGAGTGTTCCTTCTTGAGCGGATCGTTGAGCCAGGAAATGGTAAGGTGCTAGCAGGTCTAGATGGGTCTAAAACGAATCACCCGAACCACACTCTGGTCAACCAATTACTGACCACTTTCCCTGCACTAGCAGTCCCCGCTGTGTAGGTTACGTGAAGTAAGGAAGACGTGGAAAGAAAACGGAAGACAGAGTATGGAAAGTCATTGATGTGAATGAGGATGACAGAATAAGAACTCAAAGTTGGAAGATGGATATGCTCAGGAGAAGGGAATGGTTTCATGTTGCCACCCAAGAGCGTCTAACTGACGCTGGAAACCATTAACCGTAGGTTCACTGAGGAGACATTCTGAGAGCGAGTTACAGCGCTCTATAACTCTACACGATAACAGGGTTTCCGCCTTGATCCGGTCGGAACGAGGCTTGTGTAGCTTCATGGGATGACCGGGCTAAATAGCCAGCTCAAGTCTGGTCCAACCTTCCTTTTTAAAGTGTGGCAAGTAAGGATTAGGTGTTTTCGAAGCCGTCAGTAGTGCGTTGAATACATACCCAAGCTAAGTAGACGCTCCGGATAAGATTGCCCCCGTAACCCTTCGACCATTTTGGTACCTACATGCAAAACTCTCTAGAGCTTCATTTTGTCCCCAACAAGGCACGGCAAGCAAGCCTGGACGCAGTATTCCAGATAAAGCCGGACGGAAGCTGAGAACAGCATCACAAAGATATCGGCAGTTAAGACTCCGAAAGAACGGCGTATTAACCACAACATTCTGAAACCCCTACTTGCGGCCTTCTTCCAGTTGTCACCAGCATGCAAAAACGGGAAATGGACGAAGTCTAGGTCTACCTGGTTGGAGACAAGGAGAAGTTCGACCTCACCGTACACGTCCCTCGTAGGTGCGTAAGTTGCTCCTATACGAATGACGGAGTACTTAGCCTGATTAATGGGCAGTAGCCACAAATTAGACCAGTCCCAGAGTCTGTCCAGGGCATACCGTATGGCTTCAGAAACCCAGGGACATTTAAAACATTTCATAGCTTAAGGTCATCAGCAAACAATAGGCATGATACCCCGAGCTCCCCAGGGAGATCGTTTACGTAGATGGAGAACAGAATCGGTCCAAGAACCGAGCCCAGTGAGACACCGCTAAGGACCGCTTGCCAGAAGGATAATATGCGACCCACACGTACACACTGCTCACTTCCCTGCAACAATGAAGATACCCAGTGAAGGGTGCGGCCAGATAGGCCGTAGGAGCTCAGCTTTTGTGATAGCTTTAAGTGGGGTACGTTAACAAATGCTTTGAGAAGTCAACGAAAAGCACATCCACTACGTGGCTATTGTCCACTGCCTCGGCCCAAGCATCACGGGCAACCAACAACTTCTTCAAACACGAAAACCGTTTCCGGAATCCCTGTTGTGCACAAATGAGTAGATTAAATCTATTCAAGTGACCTGTTGGTATAGTTTGTGGACAGCGTTTCGTTTTTGACACGAAAGCTTCCTCAGGCCGAATGAACTAGTCGAGAATCGGCATAGCACTTTTAGCGAACTGGGATGATAAGCTCGACGAATGGACTATAGGCAGAAGGTCAATCTCTGTATCACAGAGCCCAGAACCTGTGCACAGAGGACGAAGATAGGAAGGCTGCTTGGAAAGAAGCAATGAACCAATAGCTTGATAATGGATATCCCAGGCGGTTAGTGAAACGCCCGTTAGAGCGAATTTTAAATCTTCACCCACGGCGTACTACGGAGGGAATCGGGACGGTAGGTATTCCTTATAATGATGGAGCTTCGATGGTCACTCGGATGGTCTTAAATAAAGCAAAGCTAAAGGTAATTTTCCAGAAGAACCAAACGCTCCGCTCTACACTAGTGCACTTGAAAGACCCATTTCCCACGGATAGGACAATCAATTGCGTGTAGAAAATTAGTTGCAAAGACTGCGCACACGTGCATATATTTATTTAGTTAGTTATTTAACACTTCATCAAAATATCATATAAATGGCTGAGTGCCACAACACATAAGAAACTAGGGCAGCATGAGAGGGGAAACAACTGTTAGGGTACAAGAGTCTCACAGCAAGTGCGCCATTGCATACAGTCTTGGCCATATCCTCCAGCGTTTACAACCAGGCGTGCTCGGGGTCCTTTAGGCCCCAACCCTTGAGTCAGGAATGCCCAACAACAGCCAGCTTCAACGTTTGTGCCCTAACGCACTGGATCCAAGTGTTACGTTGCGCTCCTTTTCTTCGCTTCCAAGCCGCGCCTGTGCTCGTAAATAGTGCTCGTCGTCGTAGCCGCTGGGTAGGCATGCGAAGCACATGCCCAGACCAGCGAAGCCTCCGCAGTGAAATGATATTATCAATCGGTCGCCGGAGTTCGTTAGATCTGAAGACTCGTCGATGGACTTCCTCGTTACTGGTGTGATGCTGCCATCGCATACCAGCAATGCTTCGCAGACAGCGGTGATCGAAGACAGATAGCCGTTGAACATCGCTTTTGCGAACGGGACAAGTCTCACAGCCGTGCAGCAGAATCACTCGCATTGTAGCATTATAGACGCGTCCCTTGAGAGCGAGGTTGCGATCATGACTAAGACACAGGTGACAAAGTTTATCGGAAGCGAATCTAGCCTTGGAGACATGCAGGGGATCACATCTGTCAAAGCGCTAATACTAAGACAACTCACAAGATAAATGAATTTCTCGAGCACTTCCAATTGATGTTCCGCAAGGATGAGCGAAGGCTATACGCTTGGCCAGTCCTGTAATAAGACATTATATTTGGAAGGGGAAAAGCTCAACCTAAATTGGGTGGCGGACATCTTCAGTCTGAACAGCACATGCTGGGCGGCTTGCAAGGGTTCACAAATCACAGCGATGTCATCGGCATACTCTAACTCTTGAAGGCGGTCACCAGGGAACAGTTCAAGACCACAGGACTCAGAGTTATCCAGGGCAGTAATCGGGATCCCGCCCATGGCGAAGTTGAACAAGAATGGAGAGGCTGGGCAAACCTGTCTAACACCGCTAGTGGTCCTGAAAGGAGGCGGAATTTCTCCGTAAGCTCGCACGCGGCCCAAAGTTTGCTGGTACATTGCGCGGAGAATGCTGATGTACTTCTCCCCTCTTCAGTAAGCAGTCCCACAAAGCCACTGTGTCAACTGAGACAAAAGCGACTCGAATATCCAAGCATATGATTATAGTTGGTCGACTGAACATCGGCCTAACGCAAGAGAACTACGTACAAGGATAGCAGAACACAAGCGACGCATAACACGGCCACTGAGAAACGAGCTTGAATATATGGCTCTACTAAGGAGCTCGTCCGTAGCGATGCGCGCGATAGATACGAGGTATGAGATCGGCTTGAATAACGTCAAAATCGTCAGAAAGTGGTTGCGATCAACTCCCAAGAGGCTGACTACTTAGGCAGTTGTGATTAGCAATTGAACAGCTACGTGAACAGAATAGATGGGTCAGAGCTTTCGACCGTGTGGCGAGCTGCGTTAACCCTACCAGTCTGAGGAGCGCCGGCGATCGGATCCAGGACAGAGAATGAACACCAAATCATCCCCGCACCCATCGTTAATAGGACTTACATGTAAGACCTTGTAACGCGGACCACTTGTGACTGCTCCATACACTATTTGGAGCGATGCGTTGACCAGTAACGCGCTTGACCTTCTGTCTACATTCCATTCGTCGAGATTATCATCCCAGTTCGCTGTAAGTGCTATACCAGTCCTCGACTGGTTCACACGGCCCGAGGAAGCTTTGATTTCGAAAGCGAAACGTTGCCCACAAACTATACAAACCGATTGTTTTCAAAATTTTCTGAAATTATGAGTTCTCGATCGGTTCCTAATATTTTTCTAGAGGTTGACTATTCTAGTGACCTTCCAACCATTCTCTCACCAGCTTGTCAAACAATTGACCACGACGCTAGTCAGACTGACTAGCCTATAAGTGGCTGACAGCGTTTTGTTCCCATTTTTGAAGATAGGACAGATGACAGCCTCCTTCCATTCAGAATGTAATGTACAGCTGTCAAGTGACTCCTTAAACACCATCGTCAGCGATCCACTTAGTTCCGCCGCTAACTCACGCAGAAGTTTCGGAGGAATTGAATCAGGCCCAACTGCTTTAAAAGGGTTTAGTTCTTGCAGCAGCCTAAGGACTTGCGTTTCCACCACAGTAAATTCAACTAATGGCGGTTGAACTGTTCTCTGAGCTTGGCAATGTTGTTGCAAACGATTCGTGCACTCTCATCAAGGCTCCCCTACGCTACTCTTCGCTACTGCATGCCGCTCAACTACGCACTGATGATGTCACCTCGATTGGCGACGAATCATTTGCAACAAAATTGCCAAGGTCAGCGAGCAGTTCAACCTGAGCTGTCCATTTTCAACGCTATATCCACATTCAACTAAAGAAGAACCCTCAGGGACTCAGGGGACAAGTTTAACGCTAGTCAAAGCGGCCTCACAAAAACCCCTGCATACTGCTCACCAAATGCACGAT